AAGCGATAAGAAAATACATTTCTATTGAATACTTGAGGGAACATACGATCCGTGGTTATCATCGTGTTGTGTATGAATGCCTCATAGATAGCCAGGTCATCGAGAGTGTGCCCGCACCTATTAGATACCATGCGTCTACCCATTAACCCGCTTTACGTAACCCTCGTTCACCTGTAGCCAGCATCTAGTGTAGGAATTTTATATTAATCATCTTGGTTACTAAGCTAGAGTTTATAGCTATATAACTTGTGTGTGTCGGGTATTTACATGCATTTATCGATTAGACACTACCCTTACCTTTAATGACAATAATAATGATTAATGATTGCAAATATGTTTCAATTGATTTATTCATGTTTATTATGGTTAAGACACACACAGCGGGTGTGAACTATAAATTTGAGAACTTTATGTATATATAGAAAGTCGATATATTTATACTAACTATAAATCAAATATGTATATTTAAAAACTTTTACAAATAAACTAATAAATTTGCGTAAAATATTTCGACAAAATTGTGTATCAAAAAAATACAATTTATTTGAAATATTCAGTTAAAGTCTTACATTAAATCCGACATAACCTTCAACAGTGAATACCTGCACATGTATGGGAAGCCATTCCCTGAACTCACGGATCGGGAACTCCCTGTTGGGTCGGGAGAGGTGTGGAGCGCACGCCTAGTCTGGAGCTAAGATGAACTCAAATACACAATACATGTATTGATAGAAAAGTTAGACTAAAATCGCGACAAATATTTGCCTAAAAGATTAGCCCATGTTTTGCGACAATTGTTTGCATTCATCGCGTATATAATGACCACAAATACAACCCTTTAATCGCTAATTAATACTAATTATTATTAATATTTAATAATTTAATATTCATTTCATTCAAGCATTCAATACAACACTCATATCTGGTAAGCCGTGTCGGACCAGTTGGTGGCCGCAGAGGTATCTCCTAAGCCTAACCATCAATATTGACACCTCTTATCGCATCCACAGGTGATGTTTGGCTTAATCTTATCGATGATCTGCGAGCGCCTGTCCGACAAGAAGCTGTTGCGGTTGTCTCAGCACAGGTACTCGGCCTCCGGGGCCACCCTTTTGGATCCGCTGATGCAGAGGTACTGGCGATGGCTTGTGGAGCGAGTGGTGCCCCTGTGGTGGTCGCCCAACGCCATGACCCTCGTAGGCCTGGCCTGCAATATCATCACCGCCTGTCTTCTCGTCTACTATAGTCCCGACGCCAGACACTCCGTCAGTATATATATCATGACATTATCTCATCGCATGTCTGATGGCTGTTATCTCTCTGACACCCCTCCCGGTGCCGACAGATCCCCGCCTGGCCTCTGCTGCTGTGCGCGATCGGCCTCTTCGTGTACCAGACGCTGGACGCCTGCGATGGCAAACAGGCGCGACGGACGAAGACGTCGTCCTGTTTGGGAGAGCTCTTCGATCACGGCTGCGACGCCGTGTCCACCAGTGAGTGCCCGTCCATACCAGTAGTCATACCAGTGATAACCGCCACCACTTGCCCTCTACTTAATGCCCCGATGTCTGTGTCTCTCTCTGTGCCACTACTCGTAGATCCAGTAATCCCAGAGCTGTTGCCGCGACAATGAGCTCCCATTATATGATAGGATAACCAGTGATTTAGTGCCCCAATTGACGCCAGTGTCTAATCCGAGTGTTTGTGTCATTTTGACGGACAGTATTCGTGTCGCTATCGGTGTGTCTGTCCGTCCAATTGGGCGAATGCGTGTCCCTTATGCTGATCCTGCAGACCATGGCCTGTGCCCTCTTCTATATGGCCCACTGGCAGACGTACGTCACGGGAGAGCTTAAGTTCGCCAAATTCGACGTCACGGAGGCCCAGATGACCATCATTGTCATCCAGGTCGTGTCCGCCATTTGCGGCACAGACTTCTGGACGTATGAGGTATGCGCTGACCATTGAGTCATTGTTTTTGTGTCCAATTTTGTTGATAATTGGAGTTTTTAAGTCACCAAATGAGTTATTGTTATATAAAATGATTATATGATGTGTTGTGTTGTTGTCGGCGATTACCTCTCGAAGATTGTCCATTCAGTGGGTCTGGACTTAAGAGTTGTGGTGATGTTGATCACGGCGTTCAACGCTATAATCATAGGCTGTAGATATTTCACTGCAATCATAACCTGCGGCGTTGGCAAGAATGGGTCGTCCGTTGCCGTAAGTGCTATCAACACTACCAGTGCTCCCACACAGACATACGCCAACAAAATACACATCAATTCAATTGATTTTATGATTGCATGGCTTGAGTAGTGTTGACTGAAAAACTATTTTGTTTTTTTGAAATCTATTGGTTTATACTTTGGTGTTTCCTATTTGCTTACCGGTGCCTAATCTCTATGCCTTCCTACTCCCATTCCTACTCCAGATTCCGTGGCTAATGCATGTGAAGTTGCAAATGATTCCCACAATCTTTTCGATATGCAATGAAGCGCTTATATTATGCACGACATTGAAACAGATACTGTCGGGAGGGGTCGGCAAAAACGGCTCCACAGTTGCCGTAAGTGTTTGCTCTCACTATTCATGAATGCATTGAATTTTAAAACCACAAAAACAAATCATACTTTTATCCTAAACATGCAATTTCTTAGTCTTTTGGATTTTGAATTATTTTGTCACTAATATTGTTGTGTATATTCTGTGGGCCCCCCTAAAGGATACGTCAATATTATCTCCATTGCCAGCGATAGTCCTGTCGGTGGTGGCGGCGCTCACCATATTCTTCAAGTCCCCGTCAGACGTGTTCTCGCAACACATTTGCTTATATCTGATTACGTTTGGTTTGGTCACCGCCAAGATCACCAACAAATTGGTTGTAAGTAGTGATTGGAGTTTTTTATATGTATGAATCGATTGCCAGATTCAAAGTAATGGCGATTTTGTTTGTCTGTATGCAAAGGTGGCACAAATGAGCAAAAGTGAGATCACAAAACTGGACTCAGTATTCATTGGACCGTTACTTCTGTTTTTGAACCAATACTTTAATACAATTATTGATGAATACATCCTATTATGGGTGGCATTAGTGAGTGTTGATTGCAATTATACAGTGTATGTATTGTTTGGTAACTTATAAATTGTGTGTTTAATAGGTGTATATTTTGTTGGATTTCCTGTACTACTCGTACAGCACGTGTAATCAAATTGCCGATTACCTCAAGATTCGGGTACTTTCCATACAATACCAGCGCCCGCCGTCGACGCACTCGAGTCAGAGCTCGGTTAGGAATAACGGATCGGCCGACAACTCGACAAATGGTAGGGAAAGCCGGCACCGGCCCTACAACTTAAGGCCTGACAAACGCTAGGAAATGCCAGTATTTGCTAAGAAATATTGAAATATTGAATCCTAGATATAGTCTATTCTCTACTCATTTCATCACAAATTCCGTTTGCAATCATTTGAATGAAATTCAATTATAACTTATACCATAATTACGAGTAATTATTTCCAGAAACGACTTATTCATTGGTTCTCTCGTGAATAGTAGTCAGACATTGAGTTGTAATATATAAATATATTATTATTACTGATAATTATAATTACAGATTAACGTAAATCAATTCATTGGGAAGTTTACCAAATGTTTTACTCATTTGTTTAGGTTTTATTAGATTTTTGAATTATATAATATTTGTTTATTTTTTTTGTTGGGAACCCCTTTTATCCATTGTTTAAAACAATTGCAATTTAATGGCAAAAATATTATATAATATTTATAGAAATTGTGATTCATTTTTATTGATTATTAAATGTTTAACAAAAATATATTTCCAAACACTTTGTAAATATTTATTATAAATAATTGTCTTTTAATTATTGATACAATTTTCTTTTGAATCTTCAACAACCACAACATAAAACTCTATTATAATTACAATCTTTGAATAAATAATTTGAAACTTTAAACTTCTTAAGACTTATTGTGTTTTGTTTTACGAATTAATGTGTGTTTTCTCTACAATTCGTTTGCCTTTAGATGAGAAACAACTCAAACCAGAGTTCGAGTCATTATTATTGGAAAGCGATTTCGAAGAATATAATCAAGAATTGAATTGAAATTGTTTGCATATTTCCTATGAATTACTAGTATTTATGACCATTTTATGAATTATGTCATTTCGACTCAAAATTTGTATTCATAGTTCTCATTAATCATTTGAAAAATATTTACACAAAAATTTGTTTTTAAAAAATATTTTGTTGGGAAATATTTGAAATATTCTTTTCAATAGTTTTAGTATTAATTAGAAAACAATGAAACCATTGAAAAGTGTATTTGCGAAACGGATTTCGTTTGACATTATCTGTGATAAAAATTTGTGTGCCTTTTTATTATAATTTATTTCTTAAAATAATTAATTTTATTGTTTAATTGGTATTATATTTCTTATGATAATAACGCAATTATTTAGATTTACACTATAATTGATGTTTAATTACGAGCTTTAAGTTTAATTAACTTTAATATTATTTAATAATTCACTATTTAATTATTACCATAGAATCTATTTATGAGTCATTTTTGTCATTTAATACTTAAAAGTATTGGTTTTTTGTGAATGAATTAATGAATTTTTTGAAATCTCTATAATAAGACTTAATTTTCTAATAAAGTATTCATTTTTCTAATTTTAATTACTTTTGTGTTTACTACTCAATCACTCACAAACTTATGGCTAATAAAGTGAACCCAATTTATATAATCTATTATTTGATATCGTTTTCAATTGGCGTGTATTTCACGTGTTATATACTGTCGGCTCAGTTCATCAGCCGTCCCATCGATCACTACTGTTCCCCTCCATTCGACTTCGCGGCCGAACACTTGTCGCCCAAGGATTGGAAGCAAAGTGCCATTCCCTTCTGGGATCAGGTGCCCAAGCGGTACGGGCCCATCAGCCCAGACACTCAATCCCATTGCCATCAGTTTACGTATCGCGAGAGACACACCAAT